GGGTTTTCCTAAAGATGTTCATGAATTTGATACAACATCAACTATGAAAACAGGCTTTACATCAGACCAGCAGCAGGTTCCAGCAGAACATCCCTTCCATCACATTTGTCAATCCCACAAACTTTAAGCATGCAGCTTAGTGTCAGGGAGGTTTCACTACAAACCTTTTTTCTTGGCAGTAAGGCCATCCTGTTCTCCAGCTGACTGCCCACCCACTGGTCTCTCTACCACTACATTTTTTACTGAATTACTGCAGTGTTTACATTAATTGGAATTATGCCTAATTTTAAGCAGTGTCTAAACCCTCCAAGAAAGCATTTTCTCTTTCTGCACCAGCTTCTGTGAGATTTCATCCCTGTCCATAAGCACTTTCACCTGCTTGCCAATTACCAAGAGAAAAAAGTCAACCCTGGAGCTATACTAAATTTACTACTCTCTACGTCAATGAAATCTTAAAGCAACATTTAGTGGTTTGACAGAAAAGTGACCTTTACCACATGGAGACACAGTATTTTTGCAAGAAGCAAGCATTTTCACCCAGATTCAGGGACTGCCAAAACTTGCAAGTTGCAGACACTTTCCTGCCTTTTGCAATTTCTTGGCTGAGCTGCAAAAATCAAATCAGACAAATCCCAGGGGACTTAGAATTTTCTCAACAAGTTGATCTACCACAAAACTACGTTTTTCTGGTCTCTGATTTTTATCTCAGCAGCAAGGAGTGCAACCAGCTACTGTGTTCACCCAGAACAGTGGATACCTCCAGAGACAGGGCTGAGAATGGAGTAAGGTGATAGACAACAACATAGGTGTGGGTTAAAAGTGAAAGGAAGAAGAAATCAAAGTAAGAAAAGGAAGAAAGGAAATAACTCTGATGTACCCAGTGAGAGGTGGTGTTTGCCCTCAGTACAGGTGGCTGAACAGAAGATGCCTCCACCTGGGTTTGCCGCTGGCAAGGCAAAGAGAAGTGAGGGTATCTCAGAGGAGGTATCCTGGCTGTTGGTGGACAGGAGGAAAGGCACTTTGGAGGAGAGGAAGGTGGGGAGAGGAGACAGATCTACATTTCAGATGAGAACAGTACTCTTTCCCAGCTTCTCTGGACGATCTGATGACCTTTCCATAACCACCAGCATTCATCATAATGCTGAAGCAGAAGTTGTTTGCCCCACCTTCCCCATGAAGCATATGAATCTAATTTTCCCTTTTTGTGAAATCAAGAGTAATATCTGCTTACAACTCTGCAATATTGTTCTCCAAGTGTGTGGTAAAGCTAATAACCACACAAGAGAGAGCTCTCTGGCTGTTAGAAGCCAGATCCAAATATTCCTAAGGCAGCTCTCCATCACATAAGCATGCAGACACACACACAGAAATCTATAAAGGCAAACACTCCTATATATCCTACAAGCAAGCTGCCTTAGAGCTGTTTCCTGTTACCAAAAGAAAGGACTATAAAAATGAAGGAACTCCTGATCTTAGGCTGCTATTTCCACCTCATATGACCTCAATTTTATGGAAACTGTACCCTTGTGTTATTTAGATTTTACTCATAAAACATGGAAACTGTACCCTTGTGTTATTTAGATTTTACTCATAAAACATAGACAGAGGCAGTGTATAGGCATTGGGGAACAATCAAGAAAAATGTAAAACTTCTTTGAACAGTAAAGAAAAACGTTGTTAAAATGATTCATTTTTATAAATGATGTAAGGAAAAAACATTTGCTGGATTGGAGATAAGGTTTTTTCTATTTTCCTTTAGGAAGAAAAAAAAAAGGTTCTTGGAGCACTGAAATGTTGTGGCCAACAAAGTTCTACTTCCCTTATGTATTTCCCCAGCAATTATAACCTAGAAAAAACATTAAACACTGAGGAGCATTTTATAATGTAGGGATATTTATCCACCTATCAATCATGACCTTACTCACAGCTTCTGAAGTTCTCTGTGCATCCTATTTTGAATGAAGCCTTAAACTACAGCAGAGTGCCAGTGAGTCTTTGATAGATTACTAATTTTAAGTCTTCTAAATGTTTGCAAGCATTCAAGGTTAGTTCAACCTAAACTCCTTAAAAAGCATATTCAGCCTTTGGTCCTGTTACCTGAGGGGATTGCAGCTAAGCCAGTCAGGCACTATAGGGCATTGCTCTGGGATTCTGAGTCTGCAGCGTTAAATACCTTTGAAGAGATGTAAACCCAAAAGCATTTTGGGGTTTGAGGGATGGACTTGTGTCCTCTCATTCAGCACAGACACTCCCGTCAGGAAGGTCCTTTCCAAGCACTCTTCTAAGGAAATCCTCCCACCTTCAGCTCAGAGTGGTTTTTTAACTGCTGTCTTTCTTACAGCTTTAGGCTATGGGAAATTGTACATCTTTGTGGCTTTTATTAACTTATTTCCTTTCCAGCAATATGCTGTAAAACCAGTAGTGAGACTCTTTTTCAACTAGAGTGTTACTGTGGCAATCAGCACCCTCATGATCCTTTTCAATGCTCAATAACCACAGCCTTCAAGATCTTAATATTGAACACATCGATACAAAATGCCTTTAAATGGTGCCTTTTGTGGTTTGGGGGGTTGTTTTGCTGCAGCCTGTAGAAGTTCTCAGGTGAACTCTGAAAATAAGGACAGAAATCTAGAGCTGAAAGAGGGTGCAAAGTCAGTGTTCAGAGGATAGACCTGGATTGCCTGCATCCCTGACAGGACCAAAGCCTACTTCAAACTACAACCTCCATCTCCTGTATGCACAAACAGGGATTTGGAAATTGGTCAGAACTCCAGCATGACAGAGCACTGCAGCAGTTACTTCAGATGAAATAAAGTGAGAGACGATAGTTTCAGAACATTGCAGCTTAAACCAGCAGGGCTAAACCAACAGTAATAAAAATATGAGGATCATCAGATTTATAATGAAGAAAGAAAATTGAAAGCAATCTTCCATGTCTGAAAGAACCATTCTTAAAGCAATTCAATTTTGAATCCTTAATGAACATACACAGACACACAAAAAAGCCCAAACCAAACTATGTTTCTTGCTGAACTGATTTTATTATCCATTGCTAGAAACACACAAACTATTATGGTTTGGGGGTTGTTTTTTGGTACTTTATGTTCAGTTTCAGAGATACAGAACTGCTTTACAGCTAGAGATTGGTTTTGATCTACTAGACTTCAAAGCTGCTTACTGCTCAATATTTTTATTGACAACATGGATGAGGGTATTGAGTCTTTCATTACTAAATTTGCAAACAACACTAAGCTGGAGTCTTGGTTTGAAAAGACAGTTGCCTGCTGAGGAAGGCAGAAGACATTCTTGATGTTCTTAAATTCTTAATGTTTTTCCCTTGAAATTCTTAATAGTCTTAAGCTGCACGAAAGGAAAATATATTGGATATTAGATTAAAGTTTTTTACAGAAAGGGTGATAAAGTATTGGAATGGTTTGCCCAAGGAGGTGGTGGAGTCACCATCCCTGGATGTGTTTTTAAGAAGACTGGATGTGGTACTTGGTGCCTGGTTTAGTTGAGGTGTTAGGGCTGGGTTGGACTCAATGAGCTTGGAGGCCTCTTCCAACCCAGTGATTCTGTGATCCTGTTACTGGAATTGCCATTAAGCCCCTAGTAAACAAACTAGCAGCAACACTGCTTGCTCACCCTACAACTCCCCCAGACCTTTCTCTGCTTTCAACTGCAACCTACGCAATGGAACAGGACTCTATTTTAGCAATAAGACAATTTCATAGTTGGAATCCCCTTCAGTTTGAAGCAAACAGCAGCACTGAGTCATCACAAGGCATTTGAAAAAAAGGGGATTTCCTACTGAAGTAAAGCACCAATGAATATCAAAGAAGGCAAAAATCAGCAAAGATCACAGTAAAGAGGGAGACCAAGAATTCCCTAGGGAGGTGATACAACTACAGAAAAAAAATGGCTTTTATTTCAGCTGGAGGCTTACGATCCAAACTGGATTTGTTATTCTGAAGCTGAAACCAGACACACACCAGAGAGTGAGGCTTCACCCTGAAGCCCGGCTGAGCCAACAGAGTTGATTTCAGCAGCCAGCAGTGGTTTTGGAGCTTTTGATTCATTCTGGATTCCAGCAGGGACAGAGCCATAATACATATGGTACCTGACACAGAACTAGGCTTGCTTGAACTGCTGTACGAGGCAGTAGAGAGAAATGCTACCATTCCCCAATACCTGGGCTCCTTCCATGAGTCACAGCCAAGCACTCTGCTGCTTTCACCAAGTATGAAGGTCACCTTTTAAGTTACTGTTTCTAGTAAAGATAAACTCCCCTGAACAGTGAAGGCAAACTACGTGGGCTGTTTCATACGTAGGCTGTTCATAGAAGGGGCTGCCTCCTGCCTTGAATACAGATGCCAGCAATTAGGATTTTTAGTAACTGGGTGTTTGCCCAGTGGGTGAGGCTCTGAGAGCACTGGCACGCCAGGAAGTTCACGGTGGCATCACGTTATTGGGGAAAAATCAGCAGGCAGAGCCTGAACCCAGGGATGTTCTGCTACTGGACCACAGTGCTACCTCACCAAGTCACAACTCCTGTCTGCTTCAGTCCAGGAGACAATGAAAACTGCAGAGCTCCATGGCCCTTCTGCACTCAGCCCCCCAACAAGAGCTGCTTTAGGTATCAGCTTTGTACTAAGTTTGGCTACAAAAGTTCCAATTCTTCACCACAGAGGGATGGAAACTGGAGGCAACACCAGCAGGTCAATCTGTCTTTTGCCTCTGCCCTCTACCTGTGCTATCTGCATGCAAAGAAAACACCACAAAACTAAGCAACAAGTCAAACATCACACTTTCAAATGCCAGGCATGGAAAGCAAGAAGTAAGCAGACAGTATCAATAGACATAAATTAAAAGGAAAGCAATGTAAGGGGTATAAAACAGCTTCATTTCTCCGCATGAACTGCAGAAGAAGACCTCGCTAAAACCTCCTCCAACTTGTTTGTGTATTATTAATTACTATATAAATTAGAGATCAAACTCACCCATTTGTAGAGCTGCTTTCTTTCACAGCAGGGTTTTGTGGGAAGTCTTTGAATAGAAGAGGTCCTCTGGACTGATTAGTGGATTCAGGTGTTAGAGACCCCTTTTTTCTTTTCTCAGGCTCAGCTGGCCCAGGGCTTCCATCTAGGGAAAAGATGGAAGCAAAGAACACTCTCAGTGGAATCAAGGCCACCAATTAAAGGATAAATCACACAACTCCACAGAAGCCTACAATGGCTAAGGGAGGGGTAGAAAGCCAGAGGCACCAGGCATGCAAGGGAAGGAAAAGATGAGTGCTTAGACAAAAAAAAAAAAAAAAAAAAAACCAAGCTAAAAACTAATCAGTCTAGCTGGGCTGTGCTGGAAGACAACCCACAGCATTTTCTAGAAGTCTCCAATTTCTCCTTCTCAGTCAGTAAAGGATCAAGCTAAATTTCCATTCATTGTACTTAAGTACAGGCAGAAGAAATATTCTTCTGAGCAAGCAATTTTTCCAATCTCTTTTCAGTCCTCTTTCCCAAATTATCTTCATGTAGCAATTTATCTTGCTACATCTCCCATCTCCCCTGCAATGATCTCCACACCCATAGGCTCAGCAATAAAAATTCAGTTTTTTATTTGGTTAAATTACTTCAGTTTGGTTCAAAATTTGCTAAAAAACTGGTCTGTCTCAAAAAAAAATTTGCTCTGTTCCCCTGGGGTTAGCTGGGATTCATCTTCTGACCAGCACAAGGCAGCAAGCATTTTCAAATGCCAGATGGGTGAAGCTGCAACCAGCATAAAACTTTAAGAACATAAAAAAGAACCATTTTTTACATTTTCTACAGGAGATTTTGGTTACCCACAGTCTTGAGCATCTCCACAAAATGAGAGCAAGCAACAGGAAACAAATCTTTCAACATACATAGATAAAACATTTAAATCCAGTATCACTCAATAGGAAAAAAAAATCTTCCAAGTAGGTGAAAATCACCAGAATGTTCTAAAAACAAATTATTGCATAATGAAATATCAAGTTCTCTAAATACTCTTTTTTTTTTTAATTGTTTGAGATCATTTTCCTGGCCACTTTTTCCTCAGAATATCAAACCTTTACCAGGCAAGACAATGAGCTCTGTACTGAGTACACCTAAATAATGCCAGCTGATTTGCAACATTGACGTTTCTCATTGTTTCACTTGAAAGTAAATCTGTTTCATTTCTAAGAGTTAAATTTTATTTCTAGGTAATATTATTGATATACCCACAATGGGTGAAGTGTTTAACACCTCAATGGACTAAGGAAGGACAACTTTAACATGAGAAGGTTTATCAGTATAGCTTATTTTTAATTACAGGTGAGTGAAAAGGTTTAAGTGTATCCCAGTATTTGAGCAGCTTTTTGTACAACAAACCTTGCTTCCTTCCCCAGAAAAGTTGAAGGCGATTCTGTGAAGCATCCCACAAGGTGTCGCTAGAGATGCATCAGCCAAAACACTCCTCGAACGCCCTTCCCTATCCTTTGCTCCCCCTTCCTTGGAAACATGTTAGACAGCTTTGGAACGGGATCAGAAAGAGCTGATGCCTGAGCAGTCCTGGTGCAGCAGGCGCCTTTCAGCTGTAAGCAGCAGGGCGATGATTTGAACAGTAAATGAACCGAGTACACACAGATCAATGGGAAAAGCAAACAATTTCAGGCATCAGCTTTTAATGAACTACCTCGAAAAAGTGACCCTAATACAGAAAGAGAAACAAAATCAATCATCAGCTCTGCCTCAGTTCCACGCTAATGCTAGGAAAGATGGTTTGTCTCATTTGATTTTGATCATTCAGTTTCATGCCCATATTTCACACCTAACCCTGAAAGCTACACAGACTCCTTGGAAAAATCTATCAGATATAATGGTGTGCTTGATCCTCATTTTCACGTATCACTTAAGGCCTTTTCTAATGAACACTGCATGAACACAGCATGAATTCAAATCTACTGTGCTGGATTTAAAATGAATATACCCCCTTATGGTTCCCCTTCTACCAACCCCCTGTATTTCCCTCTCTTGGAAAAAAAAAAAACCCAAAAAACAGATCTCACTTGAGAGAAGGGTTGCTTAACATTTGAAAACCATCTCTGACACAGCTCTCAGGCAGAAATTACAATCCAGTATCTAATTTTTCATAATCTCTAAAAAATCAGTAGGAGCTGGAGCCTTAGATGATGACATAATTACTCACAGGTGAACAGAAGCACAGCTGACCCAGCACTCACCTGCCTCCAAGATGCCCCAAGTACATCAGGTGAAAGGACTTACTTTGCCTATTGCCTGGCAGACACACAGCTGCAGCACAGGACTGAACTAAGAAAAAAGTTCCAGGAGCATTTGGGATCTCCAAAATATATTAAAAAAAAAAATCAGGAAGGAATAACATGGCTATTCTGTAAGTTGACTTTAGAGAGGAAAATATCACATGCTAAGAATACTAACATTAATATTTTCCTTAAAATAAAAACAATAAAAAAGGAAGCCAGTGTTTGCCTTTTTTATTTATTTTTTTTTACAAGATTATCAAATATTTCCATTCAAAAGAGCTGATTACCGTAAATTCAGAAAGTTCCTTTGCCTGTTCAGGTTACTTTGCAAACAAACAAACCACTTTTGTGGCTACGTCCTTCTCTGCTCCTCCCCCCACATTGGTAAAGTGGGTTTATTCTATTTCAGACTTTATGAACACCCATCAATACCTCACTGAAAAATATTATTATTCCATGAGCAAATTATGGCAAATACTTTCCTCTTTTTCTCATGGTTTGTGTTACCTTGGATAGCCAGTAGTCTTATCCTCCATTTACATTCTTAGCAAGTTCAAATAATAAATAATCTTCATTTTCCCTAGTATTTGTGGAACCTTAACTTAAATCACTATGGCAAGACTTGTATTTTACAGCTGATCTTGACAGGCTGCTACATTTATTTCCCTGCACAAGGGTATTTTTTGCTGTTTTTAAACTTTAATAGCAAAGTTCTTCCACTCCCTTTGAGAATTTAGAGGTTGTACTTTTATTAGAATGCATAAAATGTTTAAACTAGTATCTGTGAATAACGAAAATATATATGTGAATATCTGCAACAAAAACAGATCACTTTCTGAGACCCTTTATATTTTTAAGTTCACCATTTAGGAACTGAGATTTCTCCAGATTGTTAATAAATAACACTTTATTCTCTCCCCTTTGCATTTCCCCTTTGGCTCCCACTATATCCCCGGATTTGAGAAGGGGGATGCCTACAGCTACAGGCCTTTTAGTACACTCAGAGGAATCTGGAAACTATTTGTCTCTGAAGGATTTCAGAGAGCCTTGATCTCTATTATTTTTTTCATACATCCATTCACTAATTTGTATTTCAAATGCTCAGCTTCAAGGGAGGCTTAAGAGTGGTATTTATTTGTTTTGGAAAACAAGTTTTCAAAGCAAAAGGGATGACTTCTAGATGAAAATTTAAACATTTGAGATACAATAAAACCAATTTTGACTGGGTTGTTTATACCATGGGTCCTCGCTCAGCCATGAGCTCCAACTGCTTTTCAAAGCACTGTTCCACAAAGGAAAAAAAAAAAACAACCAACCCCTCTCTCCATGTTTCTCTCTAATCCTAGCGAAAGAAGAGCTCTATCAAACCCTTACCAAGTCCTACCATGAAATACATGCTTCCAAACGGCCGTAGGATAATTCCCTTGGGAGGAAGAGCTCAGCTTTTCATGTGCAGCAACGGTGCCATCTACAGCCCGAGCGAGGCCACAACAGCCCCACCGAGCCGCTGGAAAGTTTTCAGATGTTGTTTCTGCCACACACGTCTGCTCTACCAAAATTCAGTTCTGCCTGAGGACGAAACTTTAATATGATACTTAATACTGATCTTTAGTAGGATATATTTTATACTTTACCCATGGAGACATGAAATATTTTCTACCTGTTGCACTGTCTTTAAGATTCTCCACTTACGAACTGAACTAATAGCTAAATTTGGTGTTTAGCAGATGTATCTATGGAAACCATGTGTTAGAGGCAAGAAGCAGAAGAACATTACATTTCTGCTGTCACACACACACAAAAGACACTGCACTGAGTGTATTTCACAGACTACCAGGAGTCACTGGACCTTTTTATAAGCCATAGTTTAGCTGTCATCTGTACAATAAAGACTGACATCTATACTTGTTATTTAAAGCAAAAAAACCCAACTCTCCCAGTGCAGCTGGCCCGTTACCGAGAAGCCTCCTCACTTCCTAAGAATTACAAGTCTGTAACATCAAAGAAAAAAAATATTAAAATGGAAACTTGTCAATAAGCAGCCTGAGACATAAAATGTCAATATATAAAGTCAACTCAGAAACAAAATATACACATGCAAGCCTAATGTAGCCAGTAGAGTGGGCAAGGTCTTTCCAAGGGTGCCTGAAATAAGGACTGGAAATGCTGTTTGTAATCTGATAATCAGACTTGATGGAATAAAAATTCTGAACCAGAGGGTTGCTTCACTTTGCTGTCAAAATTCATTGCCTGGTTATTCTAATCTGTATAAAAGAGATAAGGTCACAAGGAACCCAAGGAGTTGCTTCAGGGAAAGCAAAAGGGAGGAAAAAAAGGACAGACACTAAGTGAGAAAGCAAAACAAACCAATGAGAGAAAAAAAAAAAAAGGAGCAAGGCAAAAGGCAGAAGTCAAAACTCAACCTCCTGCTTAACAAAGTTTAGTTGTTAGGAAAAGAGGGATCTTAAGCAAAGGCAGCTGCAGAGTTCAGTGACACCAAGAAAGCAGAAGGTTCACAGGGGTGTCAACAAACAGAGCACAGAGCAGCCCTGATACAAATTGAGAACTATAATTCAGCCTCTTCCCACACACTCCTGTCAGCAGCTTTCTCACCCTGCACAGCCTAACCTGGGCACTATCTAAAGTCTGGGAAAGACACCTTAAAAAGTAATTAAGAAGAAAAATGTTTAAAAACCCTAAACATGCTGATCTTTTTCTTATACAAGTAGAAAGAACATTTAAGGATATTTTTTTTTCCCCTCCAGTGTGGTGAATCTGTAAGTCAGTGCACTTCTGCTTTATTAAGTCAGTCAAGAATTTATTTGTCAACAGTGGAAAATACAGTTCAACCCTGACTAATTTCTGCTTGAGCAAACTGTTGAAGCAGAAAATGAAATTAAAAGACTGCACCTGTGATACCATAGGAGAACTATCCCTGATTTTGCAACAGTTCTATGTCCATACATTAGAATACTTATCAAGATGGCATAAATGCAAATAGCAAGGATGTGTATTTCAGTTGGGAAAATGAAATGGAATTACAAATCAGATTCCAGAGCACTGAAAAAGCCTGAAAGCTTTCTCATGACTTTCCAAGATGAAACAAGAGATTTATGGAGACCATGCCATAAATTTTAAATCATTTAATTAAGGCTTTGCTCAGGAGCATGGGGAAAGATGGTATAAGACCATAAAATTTAAGAAAGCATGGAAAAGATTAGAGATAGAGTAAAAAAGGACCATATCCAAGGGAACAGTAAAGTTACCTGATGAGAATGAGTCCTGAGAGATCCCGGTGAAATTAATTTAGAAAAAATGAGTGATGGCATTGAAAAGAGCAAATAAAATCTAGAAGACTGTAAAGAGAATTCAACAGAAACTTAAAAAAAAAAAAAGACATTTTCCTCTTAGAAGTGCTAATGTAAAGAAGTTTTTCAATGCAAGCACATTATGTCATTTTAGGACAGAGTCCCTTTCATAAACTGAACATATTCCACAATATATTTGGGGGAAAGGTATAATGATTATTTCTCAAAAGAGTAAGAAATAAGCAGAAGTTACTGTTTTGTGGGGGGAAAAATGGAAAATGCAAGGAAATAAGAGCTTTTCATATAAAGCTTTGTATTACTCCACAGGAGGCTGAGAAATAAAATTCAACCTTTTTCAATCAGCAGGACATCTTTTCAAGTCTTGGTTGGCATTTTAAGCACCCTACAGGGCACAGATGCAATTTGTAGAAGTTTGTTTGTATCTCTACTAGATTTCTTCTTTTATGAATGCATAAGGTACAGGTAAATACCCTTTAACCTTCTCAAAAACAACCCTGGCTTGTAGGATAGCACTTTTGTAGCAAAACAAACATTGTGTGAGCCTAACTTGTAGGACTGTGAGTTTGTATTTTATGGAATGAAAGGAACCAGGTTTTACTGCTTTTGACTGAGGAGGTTTTGTTGTACTGATGTGGATGAGGAGTTGGGGGGAGATTAAACTCATAACAAACCAGCACATGACCCTTCATCTCAAACCACACCAGAGCTTTTAAAATAACTTCATAATCCATCAGCCTCACTGGAGCTTCAACAGAGGAAGCTAATGATGGTTTCAATGTCCAGCAGTACTCCTGGAAGCCAGTTTTAGGGGTCAAAGCAGGACTTTGAGTACAGACAGAAATAGATTATTATGTCAATGTTTCTGAAGGGATTTACACAATCTAACCTCTTTAGTGTGCATTAAATCCACATTTACCTGTATTCTCCTGCTTGGGCTGGTGAAGTTCCTGCTCCATTCCACTGCTCCCACCTGGAGAGGAACCAGGACAACTTCCACGTTTCCCAGCCTTTTGCCCTGGGCACTGAGATGCTGCTCTGTTCACAAAACCACTCTCTGAATACAGTTCCTAAACTTTCCCAACTTTTCTAACACTCAGATCAACTCTAATCTACATAAAAATATAGCTTGCCATGATTATCCTCCTCTCCCATCTCTTCAAGTCAACAGCTCTACTAAATCCTTTCCTCTACTTACTCCTCTTTTTTTTTCCTGGGCAATAATAATCTAGGTCTCCTCTTCAGTGTATTTCTCTCATCTCTCAGGTGTCCCTTTCACTCTGATGGATCACGTTTCAACAGCTTCTGCCATGCTGAAAGCAGCACATCCAACCACTGCACATGAGCTAATCCTGTAATGAGCACACAGACAGGGCTAACACATCTCCAGGCTGACAATTCATGTACTTACTCCCTGGATGCAGGCACATCACACATCTCTGCTGCTTTGGCAATCACTGGCAATTGGTTATTCCTTGGAACAGGGTGATATTGGATATTTTTTAATTGCTACAGTTACTGAGAAGGTTCACTCCCTTCTACTCACTGTTTTCCTTGTTAACGCCCTGGTATCAATCGAACAAGCTGACAAATCTGTCACTTTTTCCTCATCCATTCCATTTCCAGAGTCTCTGTTCAGCTGAATTTGTCCTTTTAGGCTCCTGTCTTCATCAGCCTGTCAGTTCCTGGCATCATCTCACTGCAACCTAAAGGCTTAACCCCTTACAGCTGAGAATAAAAGAAGCTTCTCTTTATCAAAGAAATTAAAAGCAATTCACAACCAAGATAATAAAAAACTTGAACAAACATTCCTCCTC